TAACATGAACGAACCTTGCTGTCATAGCAAGTTCAGCATTTTCATCAGGAATACAGAGGTGGACAACCAGTTTGTCAGAAAAAAGCTACTAATAATTGTACAACATCAAATGAATTAAGATGTAATTATAGCTAAGTTGCTGTTCTAGTGTTTATTGGCTAGGGGGCCTGGGCTAGGGTTATTGTTTTGCTGTACTTCACAGCAATGACTTGTAATACAGTAGACTCTTTGGTCATGAAACTGGGCTGGTATGTGTTCCCAGTGTGGTCATCACCTCTATGCTTTGGGAGGTATATCATGGAAATGTTTAGCAATTACACATCTTTTTTTTCCTCCTAGGGTGGTCAGCCTATGAAGGAGACATTCCATCATACCCTCTGCTGCCCCATCAGACTATTTACAGAGCGATCAGATTCTTGAAGATTTACAGATCCTGAATATCCTTTCAATGCCCTTGAAAGCACCCTGCTCCTTTTGCTGGGAACCAGTTTGCTGCTGCATATGGTCTCTATTTTTTGCCTATGGAGTGACCACCCTGAGAATGCCTGATCTTGTCCAATCGCAAAAGCTAAGCAGGGTCCAACTCAAGTCTTGTCTAGGATTAGATGATGATATAGGAGGACCACCAAGAGATTTTCCCTGAAGAGGGACAGCCATGAGTGGCAGGGTGTGTGGGTGTGTGGGACAGTACAGGCAAGTATCTAGTTCAGTGGGTCCCTCCAGTGCCTTTGAAGCGGTGGAGGTGGAAGGTAGCTGAATTGAGTCCCCGACGAAAAGTTGCAGAAACTGCTGAAGGAGAGGATGAATCGAGTCAGTTTGCCAAGGTGAAAGCCATCCAGCAGGCCTTAGACATTTCTGAACAAGAAAAGTGGCCAGTACTTTATCTCTCTACTGACTCACGGATGGTGGCAAATGCCCTGTGGGGGTGTTTGCCTCAGTGGAAGCAGAGCAACTGGCAACACAGCAGTAAACACATCTGGGCTGCTGCACTGTGGCAAGATAATGCTGCCCGGGTGCAGAACCTGGTGGTGAAGGTACACCACGTAGATGCTCATGTACCCAAGAGTTGGGCCACTGAGGAACATCAGAACAACCAACAAATGGATAAAGCTGCTAAGATTGAAGTGGCTCAGATGGGCTTAGATTGGAAACATAAGGGTGAATTATTTTTGGCCCGGTGGGCCCCTGACGCTTCAGGCCATCAGGGCAGAGATACAACATACAGATGGGCCCATGACCAAGAGGTGGACTTAACAATGGACGCTATTGCCCAGGTTATTCACGACTGTGAAACGTGCTGAAAATAAGTAAGCCAAGCGGTTGAAGCCTCTTTGGTATGGAGGACAATGGCTGAAGTACAAATATGGGGAGGCCTGGCAGACTGATCATATCACACTCCCACCAACCTGCCAAGGCAAGCACTATGTGCTTACCATGGTGGAAGCAAGCACCAGATGGCTGGAAACATACACTGTGCCCCACGCCAACTCTCCTGCTCAGAAAGATTGTTGCAAGAGGTGGAGCCCAACATCATGGACCGGATGAACTCAGCAGCTTTATAGGGATTGGTGAATGCACTAAGGAATGATATCTCTCTCTTTGTGTGCATGTGTATGTGTATATATATATATGAGACAAGAGTGATGGTATATTGAAAAATGTGGGATCTGAGCATGACATGAATGGTATGGAATAAGGGGTGGATACTGTCCTGGGTTCAGCAGTAGCAGTCATTTTTCTCCTTCTTAGTAGCTGGTGCAGTTCTGTGATTTTGACTTTCAGTCTGGGAACAGCACTGATAACACCGATGTTTTTAGTTGTTGCTAAGTAATGTTTACTCTGACCAAGGACTTTGTGAGTCTCATGCTCTGCCAGAAAGGAGGGGCACAGGAAGCCGGGAGGAAGCAGAGACAGGACACCTGACTCAAACTAGCCAAAGGGATATTCTATATCACAGCACATCATGCCCAGTATATAAACTGGGGGCTGTTACCTGGGAGGGCTCGGGTCGGGCTGGGTATTGGTCAGCGGGTGGTGAGTGGGTGTTTTCTCTCCCTTTGTTATTTCCCAAATTTTAACTTGCAGGTATGTGCAGTGGGCAGATCCAAGTGCGCTTTTGCTGTCGGTACACAGTAGTTTCCACTGCACAGTGTTTCTGCAAAGGGAATGGCTCTTGGCATATGCAGTGTGTATTAAATGTCAGATTGCAAAGCAGCCTGATGTTTTTTGGCAAGCAGCAGCATCTTTCCCTGCCTGCTGCAGGCAGGCAGACAGCTCCCTGCATGGCTGCTGCAGCTCCACTCTCTTGCAGGGGGACATCAGGCATGATGGGGATGAAGAGACTGGAGCAGGGCAGGATCTGAAGTAGGGGGATGAACAGGCTCACAGTGGCCATGTGTGACATGCTGGCAAATATCCAGTTTCACAAACGCCCCCTGTGGAGACAGTGTTCTCACAGGAGAATGGATAATTGGTACATAAACTCTGAATAATCCTGAAAGATACAGCAAGGCCATGAGAGGCCCGAGGAAGCTTAAGCAAGCAAGATAAGAAGTTGGAATTCACTGAGTTATGAGAACTGTGGACTGTTGGCAAGCTTTCGAGGTCAAGTTCTCACACCTGTGCTTAACCAATTATATGTTAGTCACTAAGGGTCTTCAAGACATGTATCCAATCATAATATGCCAAATCACTGTAAGTGCATGTAAGAAATAGTATATAAGGAGTTAAGGCTTTGTAATAAACGGCAGTCACTTGATCACATTGATCATATCTGTGTTTTCTGTGACTCCCGCATCAACAACCCCCCCAAGATGACAACCCCGAAGGTGACTAAGATGAGAGCAAGTGTCTTCCCCCCACCCTTCTGTAATCACCCCACAACTCATGTCACGCTCCAATAAAGTCACACAAGCCTCAGGTGCCTGCTCTCCCTGCAGGAATGGGCTCTGTCAGGAAGGGGGGGCAGCCAATGCTAGCACCTTTCACATCTCGGCAGTTGCTGAGGGTTATCTGAGCATGGCAGAGCTAATTACAGCAGCTGTCCCTCGGCCCCCTGTCAGCTTAGTCCCTTCTGGCCTCCTCCAGGAACATTTGCTGTCCCCTTCCCCTGCCTGCTCTTTTCCTTGTCTTGCTTAATGACTGGAGGTTTCTTTTGCCCTGCTCCTGAGCTGTGCTTCCCCCAGCCTGAAGCCTCCTTCTCTCCAGGAAACAGCACTGGACCCTCCAGCTTGCTGACAAAGAGCTCAGGGTCCCTGATCCAGTGCCATCCCTTAGGGCACAGCAGAACATGGGCCCTCCCTCAGAGCTGCAGCTCTCCCTGTGCTCCTGGAGGGATGTGGGGAGCAGCTTTTCCTTGTGCTGCATCTGCTGCATCATGCTGGGAGCAGAAATCATCCCTCATCTTTTTTTTTCTCCCTCCATCCCTCATTTCCCCACCTTCACCTTACAGAGCAAGGAATGAGATCAGCTGCGCTCAAACCTTTAACTCAGCCTTGCTGCCTGCAAAGCTTTTTCCCCTTTTTCTGCTGTGTAATGGTGTGTATCTGGCTCTAACGTTAATCCAGGCTGTGCTGCCCCGAATAAATCTGGAAGGGCTCCCTGGGGAGCAGCCTGGATGCTTGGGGAGGGGGCTGGGGTGAGCTCTGGCCAGCCCACCCCAGCCCATTCAAATTCCAGCTCCCTGTGATGTTCTCTCACATCACTTGTTTTTGCAGACTTGGCGTTTTCCAACTTGGCTCCCAAAGCCTCCATTAATAAAGCTAAAAATTCCTGGCATGTATCAGCATACTCTTTAGCTGAGCAGCTGCTGGGGGGGGGGGGGAAGCTGGTGGCTGTTGATCTGGATTCCTCCTGCTTTTGTTTCCCAGGGGGTGAGCGGGATTTTGCCACTCATCCAGCACCATGTGTGCACCAGCTTTGGCTCAACACACACCATGTATTAGCTGAGCTCCCTGCTGGGCTGGTGCTTGTGGTGACAAGGCACCATGGCAGACAGGGACCCCATTCCCAGTGCATCTGGAGCTGCAGGGTGCTCTGTGCCATGGTGAAGGGCTCCAACTGCCCCATGGAAAGGAGCGGAAGCGGCCAACCACAGGATGGGCCTTTTCATGCAGCCATGAATGGCTCTTTGGCAGCCGAGTGGCTCCAGGCATCAACACCAACCCAAAGCATGTGATGGCCACGTGGGCCCCATGTCCCACAGCCCACCGGGGCTCCTGTCCATGCTGGGCTTTGCTGGGGCATAGGTGTGGTGTCACATTTAATGGTGCCTTTGACAATCCCTATCAGACCCATCGCTTGCCCCATGGCAAAACATCTTCCCCAGGGCCAGGCCAGTGATGCCCATGAGGCCATTGGTAGGGATGGGGACTGGGAGGGGCAGCTTGGCTCCTGCAATGGGGAGGATCCTACTGAGGTCCCCAAGGTGCGTGGATACCCCAAGACACACAGTCCCCCAGGATGCCGGGATCCCCCCAGGACACATGGGAACCCCAAGGAGCACAAACCCCAGGGTGCAAAGGACCCCTGTGGCACACACTGCCCAAGGATCAAGGCCTGGGGGGTATGTGGACTCCTAAGGATCCCTGGGCATGTGGTGACCCCAAGGCCATGGCTCCCCAGGGCTGTGATGAGGGTCTGGCAGCCTCAGCAGTGGTTCCCCTTGCTGCTGGGGTGCCACTGTCATGCAGGTGCCCACCCTCCTTGGGAGGAGGAGCCATGGGAGCCAGCTTTAAAGTGGGGCAGAGAAAGGGCCCTTTCTTTTTCAACACCCCAGCCCAGTGGATGTGTGGCTGTGGGACACTGGCCAGGGTCAGCAAGGAGGTAGCTGGGACACCAAGGTCCTGGTGGGCAGGTGGTGGGAACCCCCCATCCCCAATTCCTCTACATCCATCTCCTCGGCCTTGCTGCTGGGCACCACAGGAGCACTGGTGGGGCACAACAGGGACTGAGGGGGTGTGTAGGTACTGTGGGGGGACCCCAGGGCTGAGGTAGGGGCCATGTTGATGCTGCCCCCCCCGTGCCTGCTGAGTGAGCCCTGGAATGCCAGAGAGGGCAACCAGAGCAATGCCATGGCTGGGGCTGGCAGTGCCTGGTGCCAGGGGCTCAACATCCCCAACAAGCTCTTCCTCACACTGGGGCTGGTGAGCCTGGTGGAGATCCTGCTGGTGGTGGCCGCCATCCTGAAGAACAGGAACCTGCACTCGCCCACATACTACTGCATCTGCTGCCTGGCTGTCTCTGACATGCTAGTGAGCATCAGCAACCTGGTGGAGATGCTCTTCATGCTGCTGATGGAGCACAGCATGTTGGTGATCCACACCAGCATTGTCTGCCACATGGACAAAGTCATCGACATGCTCATCTTCAGCTCTATTGTGTCCTCCCTCTCCTTCCTGGGGGTCACTGCTGTGGACCAATACATCACCATCTTCTATGCCCTGTTCTGCCACAGCATCAGGAGGCTGCAACAAGCCATGGTAACCATGGCCAGCATCTGGCTGGCCAGCATGGTCTCCAGCACCATATTCATCACATACTACCACAACACCACCATCCTCCTCTGCCTCATCAGCTTCTTCCTCTTCATGCTGGTACTCTATATCCACATGTTCACCCTGGCCCACCACCACCTCTACAGCATCTCCAGCCAGCAGAAGCAGCCCACCGTCTACCGCAGCAGCAGCCTCAAGGGAGCTGTCACCCTCACCATCCTCCTGGGCATCTTCTTCATCTGCTGGGGCCAGTAATGGCACAGCTGCCTTGCTACAGGATGGACGGAAGGATGCGATGGGATGCACCGCGGGGTGCCCCACTCTGTCACCCAATCCAGGCTGAGGGGCTTGCGGTTCCCCATAAAGGCTGTTTGCAGTGATGCCGTGGCTGGCACCGCCGTGCAGCTCCCAGGGACCGCTTCCCGGCCCCACCGTCTCTTTTAAGTTCCATTGTTCCTGGTTGCCTCCTGCACCGGCGCCGGGGCTGAGCCGGGGTGGGGGGGGGGGGGCGGCCAGCGTGGCACGGCACAGCCCAGACAAAGCGCCCCTCACCGCGGCCTTCGTTCTCAGGCCGCGCCCACCACCGCTCGACCCGGCCCTGGGGTGAGGCTCCTGGCGCCCGGGACCCCCGGGGCGGCCCCCCCGCAGCAGGACGCGCTTTGGGGGGTGTCATCCCCCACCCACCGCCGCCCCGGGATTCTCTCGCCGCTCCCGGGTGGTCCCTGTGGCTCGTTCGTGTCGTGCTCCCCCCTCTCGTGGGCACCGGGGTCCCCCTGTCCCGGGGGGACTGGGATGTCCCCACCCGTGCCCGCAGTGCCGGGATCCCTGTGCCGAGTGGAGGGAGGAGGTAGCGGTGCCGGTGCCGCAGGGCTGTTGTAGCGTTGCGGCGGCGGCCGCCGATTGGCTGCGGGGCAGCGGTGACGTCAGCGCCCGGCCCGGTGCAGCTCGAGGCGCCTATAAAGGAGGCGACGACGGTAGGATTGTTTTCTGCGTTCCCAGTGCTGCTCCTGGTTCACGTCCTGTTTTCATCCCGTTCTGCTCCGGCCCGGCAGCACCATGAGGGAGATTGTCCACATCCAGGCGGGACAATGCGGCAACCAGATCGGCGCCAAGGTAACAGTTGCCCTACCCTGCCGCTGCGGAGCCGGGCGGCGGACAAAGACCATTCTCCGCACCACTACTTGCTCTCCGCTCCCGCCGCAGTGGGTGGACAAAGGGCCCCGCCCCACACCAGCTCCCTCCCTTCCCCCCATGCATGTGTCCGCCCTTCAGCACTGCGGATAGCGCCTGGTCCGTTCTTGTTGCCGTGGGGCGCTCCGCCTTGCCCAGGGGGTTGGGGGGGTGTGTGTGTGATGATAAGTTCTCCGGGTCCCTGTGCCCTCTCTCCCCCATACCCGGTGCCCCGCCACCCCTGAGCCTTGTTCCTTCCAGTTCTGGGAGGTGATCAGCGACGAGCATGGCATCGACCCCAGCGGTAACTACATGGGTGATTCAGACCTGCAGCTGGAACGCATCAGCGTCTACTACAATGAGGCTTCTTGTAAGCGACACACATCTCCCCCGGGACATCTCCCGGGCAGGGCAGCTCAGCACCCCCACCCTGGGTCCGGGGGAGATACCCCTATCCCTTCCCCCCCAGTGCTAGCAGGACTCAGGTCTTTGGGGTGGGGGACAAATACATGCAAGATGCATGCACCCATCCCTTGGGGAGGGAAGAGACACTTGCACCCCCATCCGTGGAGCCCCGTGGTTTGAGGGGGAATGGGGGGAGACTGTGCACCCATCCCTGTGGGATCCCTACTATGTTTGGGGGGAAAAGTGAGCACCCAGCCCCATGGGACCCCACAAGGTGGGTGGGGGCAGCAGCAGGTCCCGCCCCTGGCACAGGCTTTCTTGCAGCTCACAAGTACGTGCCTCGTGCCATCCTGGTGGACCTGGAGCCAGGGACGATGGACAGTGTGCGCTCCGGTGCCTTTGGCCACCTCTTCCGCCCTGACAACTTCATCTTTGGTAGGTCCTTGGGGAGGGGGAGACGCTGGCACCCACATCCCCACACCCCTCCTGGGCTGTTGCCATGCCTGGGGCACTCAGCAGATGCATCCCCACCCTTGCCACAGGGCCTGGTACAGTCAGTTCACTGTCAAACCTCTGCAATTCCCACTTCCTACCCCACCCCAGCCTCAGATCTTGCCAGTGTTGCTGCCAGCAGTACCCTATCCCCTCCCTGGTGTGGAAACGAGGGTGCTGGCAGCCATCGGTGCCTCTTTTACCCCCCGTGGCAGGGCAGAGCGGGGCTGGGAACAACTGGGCAAAGGGGCACTACACAGAGGGGGCTGAGCTGGTGGACTCGGTGCTAGATGTGGTGCGGAAGGAGTGCGAGAACTGCGACTGCCTGCAGGGCTTCCAGCTGACCCACTCATTGGGTGGTGGCACGGGCTCTGGCATGGGCACCCTCCTCATCAGCAAGGTGCGGGAGGAGTATCCCGATCGCATCATGAACACTTTCAGTGTGGTCCCATCCCCCAAAGTGTCGGACACGGTGGTGGAGCCCTACAATGCCACACTCTCCATCCACCAGCTGGTGGAGAACACGGATGAGACCTACTGCATCGATAACGAAGCTCTCTACGACATCTGCTTCCGCACACTCAAGCTGGCCACCCCCACCTATGGTGATCTCAACCACCTCGTCTCAGCCACCATGAGCGGTGTCACCACTTCCCTCCGCTTCCCTGGCCAGCTCAATGCTGACCTCCGCAAGTTGGCAGTCAACATGGTGCCCTTCCCACGTCTCCACTTCTTCATGCCAGGCTTTGCCCCACTTACAGCTCGTGGCAGCCAGCAGTACCGTGCCCTCACTGTCCCTGAGCTCACCCAGCAGATGTTTGATGCCAAAAACATGATGGCTGCCTGTGACCCCCGCCACGGCCGCTACCTCACTGTGGCCACCGTCTTCCGGGGCCGCATGTCCATGAAGGAGGTGGATGAGCAGATGTTGGCCATCCAGAGCAAGAACAGCTCCTACTTTGTGGAGTGGATCCCAAACAATGTCAAGGTGGCTGTCTGTGACATCCCTCCACGAGGGCTGAAAATGTCTTCCACCTTTATTGGCAATAGCACAGCCATCCAGGAGCTCTTCAAGCGCATCTCGGAGCAGTTCACAGCCATGTTCCGCCGCAAGGCCTTCCTCCACTGGTACACAGGTGAGGGGATGGACGAGATGGAGTTCACAGAGGCTGAGAGCAACATGAATGACCTGGTGTCTGAGTACCAGCAGTACCAAGATGCCACGGCTGAGGAGGAAGGTGAGATGTACGAGGATGAGGAGGAGGAGTCAGAGGCGCAGGGTGCCAAGTGATGCCCAATGCCTCACCCCTCTGCCACCTGCAGCCCCCCTGGCTTTGTGCTGCTGCACCCCCAGGCCTCAGCTGGACTCCCCCTGCACCCCTTTGGTGTCTCATGACCCTGTCTCCCCCACCTCCCCCCTTTTTGGTTTTACTGGGTTGTGTCTGTTTGGTTTGGGTTTTTTTAATACTTAATAAATTTATTCCTGTCCCGGTTCCTCCTGTCTGTGCCTCTGTTTGGGGGGGTGGAGGCACCCTCTGCTCTCAGGGGCTTGACCCCCAGCATTCCCATCTTGGGGGATGTTTGGGGACCCCATGTGCCTAGGCCCTGGCAATGCCCTGAGTTCTGCTGGGTGTGTGGTGCCCCATGTCCTCCTGCCCAATAGATCTGGGGTTGGGGGTGCAGATATCACCTTGCCTGGTTGTGCCTTTGTCCCCACTGTCACCCTTCTCTATGCTGGGGGGGGTGGCTGCCCTTCCCTGGTCAGGGCAGCACTCGCCCTTTGTCCCCCCAAACTGAGATGGGGGCATAAACCTCAGTGTGTTGCCCCAGGGCTGGGACTGAGCCTGGGCCTGGGGTTGGAGGATCCAGGGCACACCCAAACAGTGCTAAGCCTCCTGGATCCAGCTTAGGTGCTGGGCTGAAGCTGGAGTGGGGGTCTGGGATGTGCTGCCATGGGGCTGCAGCCCCCCGGGAGTCCCTGTGGGAAGAGGGGCTGTGCTGTGGGGGCAGAGGGGAGGGGTGGGAACTATGGGGATGGGGCTATGCAGACCTGGGTTATGGGGCTGTTCCCGTACGTCTCTCCCCACCACCCCTGCGCGGCCCCGCTCTGGCGTGGTGTGATCCGCCGGCCGGCAGGGGACGGCAGTGCGGCTGAAGGACCGGGCAGCGAGGGGGCGCGCAGCGGTGAGCGGGGCGGGTGCGCTGCTCCTGGCGGGCGGGGTCCGGAGCTGGTACCGGTAGAGGGGGCTTTGCGGGGTGCTGGGTGGGGGGTGGCGTAGGGTTGCACGGAGTCGGAATGGGAGCGGCCATGAGCGGAGCAGGGTGGGGGTCAGCGGCGTGGGAGGCGGCGGGGCGGGTTTGTTCGCGGGGCCGCGGCCGCGTCCCTGTCCCTGTCCCGCAGGGCAGATGGCGATAGCGTACGATGAGCGGCTGTCCCGCTTCCACCAGGTACACCTCAACCCCTTCGACAAGGCCCCCCAAGCCGCCACCTCAGGAGCGGCCCGACGGGGGTGACCCGGACTCGGGTGGATGCTGACACACCCCGCACAGCCCCTAGCACCGGAACCCCTTGGCACTTCGCCCCGTTGCAAGCCAGCGACTGGACTCGTTCCCGGGGGGACCCTAAAAGCGCCCCGGACCTGGGCCTGGCCGAGGACCATTTCTCCCACCCCGTGGTGAGTGGGGCAGGGGTTGGGGGCTGTTGGCTCATCCTCCTCCCCCTGCCCCTTCTCCTCCTCCCATCCTCTTCCCCCTTGCCCTCCTCCTCCTCCCGGTGCCACAGGGTCTGATCCTGGCGTCGGACGTGCAGCAGCTGTGCCAGGCCATTGAGGAGTGAAAGCAGGCAATCCTGGTGTTGCCCAAGCATTCAGAGTGGCAGAAGGACTTGGTGGTGCGGCTCATCCACCTCTGCTTCAAGCTGCAGGAGCTGAAGGTTGGGCCGGGACCAGGGCCCGGGGGGGTTTCCATGGTGGGGAACACACACACTGACACATCCCCCTCCACCTCTGCAGGATCCTGGTGAGGCTGAACCCAACATCCAGGTGGTGCTAGAGCATTGCTTCTACAAGGAAAAGAGCAAGAGTGTGAAGCAGATGAGTGACAAGTGCAGCATCATCATCTGGGGCCTCATCTAGACCTGGTACACTTGCATAGGTGGGGCTGGGACCCCTGAGACCTCCCACACACCCATCCCACATCCCCACGCTGACAGCCATCTGTGTCCCCCCCCTCCCCCTCCCCGGGGCTGCTACTACCAGCGCCACAGCAAGTGCCTGCCCCTGGTGAGCGAGGCCTGCATGCAGGCCAAGGTCAGCCATCAGGCTGAGTACCAGCTCAGCATCTGCCCCAAAAATGGGCTGGACAGTCATGACTACTGCTGTGCCAAGTGCTGTATCCCCATCTCACTCTGTGAGGCTGCGTCACTGTGGTGTGGGGCTGGAGGATAAGTGGGACTGGGCTCCTTTGGGGGCTGCCTGGGGCTGGGGCCTGCATGGGGCTGCGTGGAGCTGGGGGCACAGTAGGGCTGGGGGCACAGTGGAGCTGGGCTCCCTTGGGGGCTCTGTGGGGCTGGGGGGAACTGGAGGCCAGGGCTTCCTGGGGCTGGGGTATATGTGGGGCTGGGCTTCTTTGGGGGCTGCATGGGGTTGGGGGGAGCTGAAGGTTGAGGCTCTGGGGGCCATGTGGTGCTGGGAGCTATGTGGAGATGGGGGGGGTCTGGGCTGTGCGGGGCTGGGGGAATCCACAGTGCATAGGAAGGTGATGTTGGGGCCCCACTGCATGCTGCATGTCCACTGGGGACATGGTGTGGGGTGAGCAGGGTGTGGCATGGTGCCAGTATGTGTGCCAATGTGTGTGCTGGCATGTGCCACCCCATGGGGGTTGCCCAGCAAGGCCCAGCAGTGCAACTACACCAGCCTCTACTACTGCAGCAGCTGCCACTGGAACAACCTGGCCATCATGCCTGCCCATGCTATCCATAACTGGGACTTTGAGCCCCACAAGGTGTCCCGGTCGGGGACTTGGGGGCGCCTGGAGGGTGCTGTGTCCCTGGGTAAAGGTCACTTGGGGGGGCATATCCTCAGGGCTGTGTCCTTGGCAATGGGGCCCAGTGGCTATGGGGTGACAGTGGCCACAGGCAGGCAGGTGTCACGCTGCAGCATGTGGTACCTGGTGCTGATGGTGTCCTGGCCTGTGCTGAAGCTGCGGAGATCAACCCACTGCTCTTCAACTGTGTGGAAGAGCTGGTGGAGACCCAGGTGAGTGTTGGAGGGTGCAGGCACAGGGGGGATCCCATCCTGCAGGGCTGGAGCTGTCAGGGCTGGCAGCTGCAGGCAGCACAGCAAATGGAGTATGGGGTGAGCAGGAAGGAGAGGGGGACCCTGGTAGCACCCACTGGGTCCCACAAAGGGGGAGCAGGGCAGGAGTGAGGGTCAGGGAAGAGGGTGGCCAAACTGCTACAGGGCTGAATTTGACCCAGCTTGACTTGTCCCCATCATGTCCCTATCTCCATCCTCATCTCGTCCCATTCCTACACCATGTCCATCTCATCCCTGTACCTGTCTCCATCCTACCCCTGCCACCACCCTTTTATGTCTTGTCATTCCCATTCCATCTTGCCCTGTCCCCCCATAGAAGCTGCACCAGGACATCCTGCTCATGAAGTCCTACTTTATCACCTGCAAGGAGGCAATGGAGTCACAGCTGCTGCTGCAGATCAAGCCGGGGGGATAGGACTGAGTGGAGGGTCCAGGGCCTGACGTAGCAGTGATGGGCACAGGGGTGACAAGCACAGCAGTGACAGGCTGTCTGGCTGCAGGACTGGCAGCACTTTGTGGAGAATGATGAGACGTACTCACTGCAGGACCTGATTGACACTAAGGCTGAGCACCTGAGCTGCTCCCTCACTGAGATCCACACCCTCTTTGCCAAGCACATCAAGTTAGACTGTGAGGTGAGCTGGTGCCATGGGGCAGACCCACAGAACTGCTCCCATGGGGTCAGCACCATGGGGGAGCTGGCAGGGTCCCCTCAGTGCACCTTTGGTACCCTCTGCTTGCTCCTGCCCCAGTGCTGCCATGTGAAAGGCTTAATCTGTGAGCTCTGCAAGGTGGGCAATGTCCTCTTCCCCTTCATCAGACATGCCTCAGTTTGCACCGACTGCTCCACTATCTTCCACAGGTATGGCACGTACCAGGATGGCTGCACTGGGGTAGGGGGACACGCAAGGGCCAGTGTGGGGGTGATCGGTGCTGTCCCCTCCCTGCAGGGACTGCTACTACAACTCCACACCCTGCACAAGCAGACTCTCTTTCAGGACTCCATCATGGAGGCAGAGCCCTGATGGGGTGGGGTGAGGGCGGGGACAGGCCCCACAGCCACCCCATGGTGCCCTGAGACAGACATTGGCACCCCATGGCTGCTTGGGGACCAGGGTGACTTTTGACTTCTGCTGGACCCTCTGTCCATGGGGCCCTGAGGGATGAGATAGGGGGGATTGCTGACAGACCCCAGCTGCTCCCTGGGAACTGGGTGAGCCCCGGGGTGAGGGGGACTGGGATCCCGTTAATAACCCACAGCAGCTCCTGCTGTACCTATACTGATCCCACCTGCAGTGACCATGCCTGGAGCACAGAGGTGGGTGCAGGCAGGGCAGGAGTACCATACCCCGCTGCCTGCACTCGTGCGGCATGGGCCTGTGTTATCGGCTGAGCTGGAGCCATGGCTGCACCAGGACAGACCCGAGCTGATCTCCCGCGGGATGGGCAGGGTGGCGGGAGCTGGGGGAACCCCCCTTTCCACACACATGCACTACTGGAATAACACTGCTGAGTCTGGGGGCCAACACCCGGCTCCCCCACCGGGTTTCCTGTAGCATTAATGAGCCTCTGTGCAATCCATCACTCTTGTCCCTGCTTTGGTGCAGTGGGACTGGGATTACAGTGTCGTGTCCTTTCCCCCCAGCTCTGCCAAATGGGCCGCGACGTCGCGGTGTCCCGCACTGCTGTTGGCGGGGGCCAAAGCAGTGCTGCACCTGTACCAGCCGGGCTCCCTTTTCTCTCCCCTCACCGGGCCGGCTCTGCACCCTCCCGGCGCTCCTGGGCCCGAGGGGAGCCCTGTGTCCCTCCCCAACGGCGATGGAGACGGGCAGAGGCGCGGCGGTGGTAGGTCGCTCGGTTTTACTTGAACACAGCACTGCTACATGAGAACCGGGCAGACACCGGCCGTGCTAGGCTGCGGGCAGCTCCGGGGGTGGGGTGTGCGGACTCTGGTCCACCGGCTCCCTCAGCGGAGCTGCGAGTTGCTTCCCACAGCGGCCGACCCGCGGTGCCAGTCCTCAGGGCAGGCTCCAGCGGTGCCGGAAAGAAGTGACCGGTACCGCCGGGTCCGCCCTTAGGGATCCCGCGGCCGGTCAGTGGGCAGAAAGGCATTTGGAGGTCCCGGAAGCAGCTCCTGGTCGCTGAGATGCTTCTTTTCCCGGCCCTGCTCCCGCGCTCGGGTCCAGGAGGGCGAGCGCAGGTACCCGGCCCGCGGCGCCGCCTGCGGTTGCAACCCTGCGAGACAGACAGGTGGGTCAGGGTCGGCGGACTGGGGGGGGGTGGGGGGGTGGGGGTCGGGGTCGGGACCGGTCCCTCGCTCACCACCGGGCGCTTCCCTGGCCGTGTTCTCCTCGTCGGAGTCGACGAAGACCTCGGCCAGCTCCTGGTCCGACATGTCGGTCAGCTCAGTCAGGTCCAGTAGGTCGACGTGCACCTCCAACGAGGAGACGCTGCTCAGCGGCTCTGCGGGCGGTGGCCGCGCTCCGGGACCCGCCCGCTGCTCAGCCCGGCGCCACGGAGAGGGACGGAGAGGGGTGGGGGGCGGCTGGGGGCACCCGAGAGGGTAGAGGGGGGCTGGTGCTCAGGGAAAATAAGGGTGTTGGTGGGGGAAGATGACCGACTGCGGCTGGCAGGGGCCCCATGGGCTGGCAAAAACCTCAGGGGCAGGCAAGGGATGCTGAGGGCAGGCAGGGGACCCCAGGAGCTGGCAGGAGATAATAAAAGCAAGCAGGGGATCCCAGAGGCTGGCAAGGGACCTCAGGGGCTGGCTGGAATCCCTGGGGGGAGTCAGAGTATGGCAGGGGATAGGCAGGGCTGTACTCACGTCTGCACTCGGTGACCTGCAGCAGGCCGGGGATGGGGATGCCACCCTGCTGCTCAACAGGGGCTCCGGGGGGCTGCTGGGTTGGCCCATGGGTGGGGGTACCCGCTGGGCACGCAGGGACCAGCATCTCCTTGCCAAGATCTACAAAACCAGCACATGCCGTGTTGGTGACAGCAGCTCCATCCCAGAGCCCCACCAGCCCCCATGGGCAGCCTAGCTTAGGGGGCAGCAAGATCCGTGGGAGGGCCTGGTGGGATGGGCAGAACTGCCCAGGGCCTTGTGCTGGAAGCTGCAGCCCCATTCCCCCTGCCCCGTGCAGCCCCTTTGTGTCAGACAAAAGCATGGGCTGTGCTGGAGCCCATGCAAAGGGTGGGTTGTCTGCCAGTGGTGGTGGCATGCTGAGGGACACCAATGGTGTCAGGATACCTCGTGTGCCCACTGGAGCAACACCCAGTCCCCCAGCTCACCTGAGGTCAGTGCTGGAGCAGGATCCAGCTGTGCCCCCCTACCATCACTGCGCTGCCAGGTAAGCCAGCACAGGGACAGACTCACTGTGGGCTAGGTACCTCCTTGTCCCCCCAGGATGGAGACAGCAGGGCAGGGGACAGAAATTCTCCCAACCAAAAGGACCTGGGATGGGGAAAGGGAGGTTATGGGGGCATTTGGATCCTGTTCCTGGCACACAGAGCTGCAGGATGCTTGCACCTTGACACTGGCTCTGCCACATCCTGACCCCATGAGGTGGGACCTGAGACAAGGAGGCACAAAAGCATAAAATGTAATCAGTTCTAAGTAAGGTCAACTTGGATGGCTTTGTAATGGAAAATAACTGAGGTGCTTGAAGGTAGTTGACACAGTTTTAGGTCCTTAAGATCTTAGTACAAGAAGTGTAAGAAAAGCAATAGAAAAACAGGACCTGGGGATGGGGAGTATCTGGGACTAGCAGACCTCCAGGGTGGGCGCAGTTTAACTGATAGGTAGAAGGACAGGATGATTGCTATGTTTGTGGTGTTAATTAACCCATTAAGCTGGTGTAAACATCTATTGGGGAGTATCTGGACTAGCAGATGTCAGGTGGAGGTGGTGGAGTGGGTTCTCCTGTGGGACCGGATCGGTGTGCCTGCTGTGGGGAGTTTGGATGTTGGAAGTGAAACTGCCCTGGGGAGAGTACCATGGGGTGGCTCCGGTGACTGAATTGGAACTAGACGGACGTGGACCTGGGGAATCTACCCTAGCAGATCCACTGGTTAAATTAAAACTAGGGACTAGAGGAAATAAAGTGGAATTTTAGTGGATACAGGAGCAACTTATTCAGCGTTAAATCAGAGGGAAAAGAATTTGTTACAGATGTGGGAGCTACTGGCCACCAAGCAAAAAAAAAAAAAAAAAAAAAAGGAAAAGAGGCATTCTTTCTGAGACCCTTAAAGTACAAATTGGGAAAACAAATATGAATGCATAAATTTTTATGCATGCCAAATTCTCCAAAATCTTTATTAGGGTGAGAAGCAACATTTAAAGAAGGCAAAATGGAATTTAGAGTTAAAAAGTATCAATTAATTGCAGTTTTGAGTTTAATTTCCTGCAGAGGGTTAACCAATGTACAGGGGGGTTGTACAAGGGGGTTAGAGGAATTCGCTTGCTTAAACAAAGGTATTGTCTGTACCTGTCATGCCTACTGAGCAGAACAAAGGATAAGGAAAAGCAGAAGCCTGATTTTACTGATAAGCAGCTACTGATAAGGAAAAGCAGACGCCTGAATCTACTGTTAAGGGGGAGAAGCAGATGGTTTATGGCTGGGACCAAACCCTACGGCCATACGTGAGGACTAAAAGGTGAAATGTTCAAGAAGAGGAAAACTCATTTACTTCATCTTGAAGACCCCTACCCACAGGGGGAAGACTCATTTACTTCATCTTGAGACCCCTGCCCATGACCAGAGGGGGCACTGCATAGGCGCAAAGGACCTTCTAGCTCCTTGTAATATGGAGCGGGGATAGGACATGAATATGTATAGGTGTATGGTGCAACCTTATGAATATATAACTAGAAAATAAATGTAGAGGGAAACAACACTGAGGCATGCATGACTGAGGAATTATCCCCGTGCGTCTCAGTGCTGAATAAATGCGTATCTACTTTACAACTTTAACGAGTTGTGGAGTCAGTCTGTGTATCAAATTCAGCAGAAAAGCAAAGAGGAGGACCTCCCTGAAACAGAAGAAATCCTTAATCATATATATCTGTGAGTATGGGCATCTGAAGTTCCAGGTAAGGGAAAAAATGCTTTGCCTGTTAAAGTAGAAATAAAAGGGGGAGCCTGCCCAATTAGAATAAAACAATATCCCTTAAAATTAGAAGATCAAAGGGATTCAAATAAATCATCGTTAAATTTAAAAATATAGATTATTAATTTAATGTGAATTAGAATATAATACTCCTATCTTGCCAGTAAAGAAATGTCCTGGGTTTAGCAGTAGCAGTCATTTTTCTCTTTCTTGGTAGCTGGTGCAGTGCTGTGTTTTGACTTTCAGCTGGGAACAGAGCTGAGAAACAATGATGTTTTGGTTTGGCCAACGACTCTGTGGGCCTCATGCTCTGCCGGGGAGGAGGGGAACCGGGAGGAAGCAGAGACAGGACACCTGACCTAAACTGACCAAAGAGGTATTCCATACCACAGCATGTTATGCCCAGGATGTAACTGGGAGTTACCCTGAAGGGCTGGGTGGACTGCAGGGTTGGAGGAGGTGTAGGTCGGTGCTTGATAGGGCTGGGGGGGGGCAAGTTATCGGTCACCTGGTGATGGAGTGTTGTATTCTCTTCCCTTGTTATTTCCTTTATCATTACTATTATTGGTGGTAGCAGTAGTAATTTGTGTTATACCTTAGTTACTAAACTGTTCTTATCTCAACCCGTGGGAGCTGCATTTCTTTTTGATTCTCCTCTCCGTTCCTCCAGGAGTAGGGGGAGGGCAAGAAGGGGGGGAGTGGGTAACAAGCTGTCTGGCTGTGGGTTAAACCACGACAGTTCTTTTTGGTGCCCAAAGTGGGGCAAAAGGGGTTGAGATAACGGCAGAATTGACCGGATTGACAGTCACTTGTCACAATGCTTATTTATTGGCTTTCAGAGTTTTTCCTCTTGATCTCACAGCTTCAGAATGTTGTAACTTACTTAAAGCCGGTATTTGCAGTGTTAGTGTTTATCAAGTGTGGAGCTTGGGCTAAGGTTCTTGTCTCACTGTACTTTATAGCAATGACTTGTAATACGGGCGGGCTCCAGCAGCAGGGCGGGACGGACGTGGCCGTGGACTGGTACCTGGCCGTCCGGCTGCTCCTCACCGTCCTGGCCCTTGACCTTGCCTCAGTCTGCGTGAGGCCGCGGGCAGCCGAGCGGGGGCGGCCCCGGGAGCCGGCGGCTGCTGAAGCGGCCTGGGAGAGCGGCCCCGGGGACCAAGCGGGAGCGGGGCCGGAGGCCGCAAGGAGACGGCTGCCGGTGGAGGAGGTCGGGGCGGTCGAGGAGCGGGAGGAGGCGGCTGCTGAGCAGCGGGAGAAGGCGGCGGAGGAGCCCAGCCCCGCGACGGCCGAGAGCATTCCCCGGAAGCCGCCCGCCGAGCCCCAGGAGGACGCAGGAGACCCCGCAGCATTTCCGAGCAAGGCAGAGGAGGAAGAGCTGCACTCAGAGAAGCTGGTGGTGAGAGAGCCGGCAAGCACAGCAGCTACACCAGCCCCAGTGACAAGTACAGCAGCATCGTTTGAGAGCTCTGAAGGTTTTGAATGGCCTTTGGGTATCCTTGGGACCTGCCTGCTGACTGTGATGGTGTTCACCATGTTGGCACACATACAGATTGTGTTTTACCCACCACCATTTTGTCTGATCCCGAAATTTAAGCAGAGTCAGGTTTGGGTCTTGTCTGGGGATAGATGACAATATGGGACAACCAAGAGGTTTTCCCCAAGGCTGGACAATCATGAGTGGCAGGGGGTGTGGGACAGTATGGGCAAGTATCTAGTCCACTGGGCCCCTCCAGTGCTTTGGAAGCACTGGAGATGGAAGGCAGCTGTATGGAGACCCCAGCAACAAGCTGCAGAAACTGCTGAAGGGGACAGTGAATTATTTTGAGCCTGGTGGGCCCATGGCACTTCAGGCCATCAGAGCAGGGATGTAACATAGAGATGGACTCATGATCGAGGGGTGGACTTAGCAATGGATACTATTGCCGAGGTTATTCCAGAGTGTGAACACTGCACACAGCCTCTCCTGCTCTGAAAGACTGTTACAAGAGATGGAGCCTGACATCATGGACCAGATGGACTCATCAGCTTTATAGGGACTGGTCCATGCACTAAGATAAGAGTGCACTGAGATAAGAGTGATGGTATATTGAAAATGTGGGATCTGAGCATGACGTGAATGGTATGGAATAAGGGGTGGATAATGTCCTGGGTTTAGCAGTGGCAGTCATTTTTCTCTTTCTTGGTAGCTGGTGCAGTGCTGTGTTTTGACTTTCAGCTGGGAACAGAGCTGAAAAACAATGATGTTTTGGTTTGGCCAAGGACTTTGTGGGCCTCATGCTCTGCCAGGGAGGAGGGGAGCTGGGAGGAAGCAGAGACAGGACACCTGACCCAAACTGACCAAAGAGGTATTCCATACCACAGCACATCATGCCCAGGATGTAACTGGGAGTTACCCGGAAGGGCAGGGTGGACTGCAGGGTTGGAGGAGGTATCGGTCGGTGCTTGATCGGGCTGGGGGGGGCAAGTTATCGGTCACCTGGTGATGGGGTGTTGTATTCTCTTCCCTTGTTATTTCCTTTATCATTACTATTATTGGTGGTAGCAGTAGTAATTTGTGTTATACCTTAGTTACTAAACTGTTCTTATCTCAACCCGTCGGAGTTGCATTTCTTTTTGATTCTCCTCTCCGTTCCTCCAGGAGTAGGGGGAGGGCAAGAAGGGGGGGAGTGGGTAACAAGCTGTCTGGCTGTGGGTTAAACCACGACAAGAAATATGATGGGAGAAGTTGCAGAATGGTTTAAGATCTCAGAGCAATCAACAAAATTATGGAGGATATTCATCCAGTAGTAGCTAATTCGTATGACTTACTGACTAAATTGAATAATAATCAGAAATGGTTTGCCATCTTGG